AAACAATTGTCATATCATTACTAAATCTGATGATTATTTCCATTGTTTTTGGCCTAAATGTCAATACAAGACAACTAATAAATGGATATTAAGTCAGCATAAATTATTACATTTAAAACCAAAACAATTTAAATGTGATTTTAATAATTGTAATAAAAGTTTCACTCAATCGGGAAGTTTTATTCGACACAAAAATTCTGTTCATTTAAATATAAGATTTATTTGTGATTCCAATGAATGCCACAAAAGTTTTACTTCAAAACAAAATTTATTTCAACACAAAAGTTATGTTCATTTGAATGAATCTGAATTCAGATGTAATGGAGAAAATTGTGGCAAAATGTTTATTTCAAATAACAAATTAATTCAACACAAAAGCATTCATTTGAGGAAAAAGTTATTTGTTTGTCATTTCAATAAATGTGATAAAAGTTATGCAAATATAAAAGACATTCAAATTCACACAAATAGTATTCACAAAATAGTATTCAAATTCACACAAATATGTAAAATTTATTTGTGATTTTAATGAATGCAACAAAAGTTTCTCAACAAAACGTAATTTATTTTGACACAAAAGTTGTGTTCATTTGAATGAAAGGAAATTCAAATGTAATGAAGAAAATTGTGGCAAAATATTTGCCCAAAAATATGCACTATTTTCCCACAAACGCTTGCATTCTTGAGAGATTTCATATGTTTGTAATGAAGACAATTGTGGTAAAAAATTTATAGCAAAATGGAGTTTAATTCAACACAAACGCAGGCATTTGGGAGTCATTTGTTTGCAATTTTAATGATTGTAACAAAAGTTTTACTACAAAACATGATTTAGTTTGTCATAAATCTACTCATTTAACTATAAAACAATTTAAATGTCTTATCACTGATTGTGGGAAGAGTTTTACGAATAAGAAATATCTGTCGAAACACATTAAACTTAATCACAAAAAGTGAATTACAAGTAACCATTGTAATATTTACATGGTTGTAATATGAATCAACATTTTAAAATAAATATAAACATTTATATTATATTAAATTTATATTGTACTACTGTAATTGTTTTATTAAATCTTAATTATTTAGAAATGTACAAATAAAAACATTTTAGTACTTATTTTTAAATTTAAACTTTTATTAAATTAAATAGATTAAATTATGGTAATTGTCAGATGAATTTACCATAAGAATAAGTTATTCTGAATAATAATGATCAAATTTCCACAGTTGTCTCCCTTTCAATGTAAACCTCTTTCCTATCGTTACGAAATTTTGCCAAAACATTGTTATTAAGTGGTCTGTAATGCATATCAAATAAATTACTGTAAAATTTAAATAGATTATGCATATTCAATATTTTATAATTGATTTAAACTAAATTAATCATAGTAATCTATAACAAATGACTAATTCTTGCTATTTTTAGACATTACTTACACTTTCAATTTTGTATAGAAATAAATACCGATTACTATTAAATTAATAGCGATTACAACCATAGCTATGATAAACCAATGGATACCAGAACTGGTTGTTGTGGTTATAGTAGTGGTAGTGTTAAGCAATGTATCCAATTTATGAGACAACTGTCCATAGTTTGTGTCCATCACTAACTCCGAAAATATTGTTATCTAATATATTATTTTATAAAAAACATTACAAATATTATAAACAATAATTTATTTTAAAATAACTCACATTTTCTTTACAAAACACCCGATTCTTAGCGCAAACGCAATGATAACTGTCCCGTCGGACGGGTAGACAAATGTGAGAGCAGTTATGGTTAGCGCACCGATCGATGCCTTTGGGCTGTCGGGAGGCGTCCAACACCTGTACGCCCTGTAAATCATTATACGCGGTGACCACTACTGCGGTAGTGTTGCCATCGGTCTTATAAATGACATCTCTCGCCGGATTTGACCAAAATATATACCCATTGAACACATCCATAGCAAATGCATCGCCAAATAGTGACCACCCGGTCATCAATTGCCGGGAATTATTGCCAAAATAGTCCATTGAAAACAACCCACTTCTGCACCGGTCTATCCAATAGACAGTTTGTGTGCTTATATCCAGTGCTAACGTATTGAGACAAACGGTCATATTGTAGATCATGTGTACATCACTTCCGTCCTGATTGGCCCGCATTATACTTCTGCTATATTTGCTGTTATCGTGACTCCACTGATGCCACACAAGTAGGCCCTCCAGTGGGTCGACAGCCACCGGACCTCCCGTTTGGTTGTGTCCGATCACGTCATATGAATACATATTACCCGATATTGTGAACACTTCTATGCCTTTCGACACCGATATGTACACCAAATTGTGAATCCAATCGTAGGCCATATGTCTTGTATTGTAATTTTTGCGGACAATTTTCTCATTGTATTTATACTTTGAATGCTGTGTCCTATCAATGGGTCCGACATTCAGTGAAAACCCTTTGTTATCATTGCTTTCCAACCAAATCACAAAATTTTGCCGATAATTATAACCCAATTCTGTAATCGATTTCAAACTCCTATACAATTGTATTGAATCCAAATAATTGGCGTTAAACTCATCGATAGTTTGTTTGCCATAAATGCCCTCTTTATAGGAAACAAACAGCAGTTGTGTTTCATTTTCCCATAGTTTTAGTCCTGTTTGGCTCCTGGAAGGGGACAGAGGGCCAAGTGTTGTGTCGATATATGTGCCCCTATGGGCACATTTACTGCCTGTCCACACTTGACCCGAGTGACAGCCGCACGTGTAGTTCACATGACTATAACGGGTCGCCGGCAAACATAGTTGAGAACAGGTATGACTGAAACACCGGTTCCTACCCATAGGTTGTTGTGATTTATGTATAACTTTAAACGCTGTAAAGTCGGCGCCCGATTCCAGCACAACACTGACCACTTCTAGCGTCGATTGTGCCGTATCTGACTGTCCAATAGGTGCCCGAAATATAGTATCATTTGCGTTGTCTGTCCAATAGATATACCCGTTGTATATATTGGTGGCTGTAATCGGGTTGAGATGTCCGGCCGTAAACACTAGCCGTTTATCTGAGCCGTCGTATGCCATGGAGTATACGTAAGAATTTTTTGCCGCATATTGACCTTGCACACTTAACCAGTAAATCCGTTTACCATGTATGTCAATGTTAAGTGTGTATCGCCGCACATCCTGGGGCTCAATCAGTGTCCGTACGTCCCGGCCGTCCGGCGCCGACCGCATGATATGACTCCGGTTCCGGTTGTCGTCGTATTTGGCAAACCTATAGCTCTGGTATGTATTACTCGTGTCGATGTATTCACTCCAGAATAGTAGCCCTTCCAACGGATCTACTCGTATGTCTTTAATCACGCAATAGTCACGCGCGACCACTGGAAACAGTTGCCTAACCGGTGCTGTTATGTTCACAGCGTATATGCCTTTCTCACCACTATATGTGTCCACACATACCGATAGATATAGGATATCGTGGACCCAATCCAATGATAAAGACTTGTAATTTTCAGATACGAATAGCAGGCGATCACTACCGGCACCCGTAAGTTGTGGGACGGGTAGCCCTGTGGCCAACGACAGGCCAAAGACAGTTGATTTTGATATTTGGTTATACGTTGCAGACCTGATGGCCACCAAATAGTTGCCGGAAATGCTATAATCGGTTGAATATATGTATTGATCGTATTGTTTGACATATTCTGACTGTAAATAATGTTGCGATTGAGTGCTGTTGTTGTCATCGGCACCCGTTGGCCACACTCTGGCCAGTCGTATGTCCCGCTTATCCGAC